TGTGGTCTACTTTGTCAAATGCCTTGTTGAAGTCTAAGTATGCTATATCCACAGCATTTTGTTGATCTACTACTAAGTTAGTCACCTTGTCAAAGAATGAAATAAGATTAGTTTGGCATGATCTGTTTTTAACAAACCCATGCAGGCTTCTAGTTATAAGGCATCTAGTTTGTTTCTAGATGTTCACAGATCAGTTTTTTAATTATTTTTTTCCAGTATCTTCCTAGGTATTGATGTTAGGCTGATTGGTCTGCAGTTTCCTGGGTCTGTTTTTTTTTTCTTTTTTGAAGATGGGAACCACATCAGCTCTTTTCCAATCCTTTGATAGTTCCCCAGTGCTCCAAGATTTTTTAAAAATATGATACAATGATTCTGAGATAACATCTGCCAGATCCTTCAGAACTCTGGGATATAATCCATCAGGTCCCAATGATTTATATTCATCAAGGTCAGACAGGTATTCTCTTACCATTTTCTTGCTTATTTTAATTTTTATTTCTAGTCTGTTTTTTACAGTCATGTTTTTGGTTTGTTGGGCTATAGTTTCATTTTGTGTGAAGACTGATGCAAAGAATAAGTTAAGCAAGGGTTTTTTAAAATTATTTTTTCCAGTATCTTCCCAGGTATTGATATTAGGCTGATTGATCTGTAGTTTCCTGGGTCTGTTTTTTCCCCTTTTTTGAAAATGGGAACCACATTTGTGATGACTCCCCCAGACAATTCCCCAGATACCTCTGTAGATGTCAGCTTGGGGGAGGATGAACTGGTTCCTGGCATGTCAGAAGTTGGGTTGATTGATGGCTCTGAACAGCCATCTGGAAGGAATTTGGCTGAGGCTTCAGCTGGGGAAAGCATGCAGTTACAGATGGTCAGTGAAGAGGAGAAGGAACTACCTTCTACACCTGATCCAAGGACATGTAGGGCAGAGAAAAGGCAGGAGTAGAAGAGGTCAGCCAGACTACTCGAGAGGAGAAGGCCTTGCCCTTCTTGATGGGTTGTGCCAGACAGAGGGAGGCATTGCTGGGAACAATGTGTTTCTTTTCTAGCTGTGTGTGTTCGGGTCATCATCATCCCTGCCTCACTTTGGATTGACATAGTGTTTGGAACTGAATCATGCCTTGGAAACTTTAGACTTTTCTTGCCTTGCGAGCTCTCTTGTGCATGGATTTAAGTTTGCCTGGTGGATTTAAATTTGTCTGGAGGATTTATTTTGTTTGAGAAACTTTCAAATGCTTTGTGAACTCTTTGGCCATTGCTCTATGAACTAACATTGGTCTGCTTGTGGCTGGAATTAATTGGGACAGTTCTGGGTTTTGGTGAAGGGAATTGCTGGGGAATATTAATAAACTGTGTATGCAAGTGAGCAGGGCAGCCCAACATCAGCTCTTTTCCAATATTCTGGTAGTTCCCCAGTGCTCTAGGATTTTTTTAAAGATATGGTTCCAAATATGGTTTCACCAAAGAGAAACTATTTTTCTACCATGTTCTTTCAGGGAGCTGGCATTTCTGTCCAATTCCCTAGAATCTTGCTGTGGTGGCGCAGTGGTTAGTACTGCAAGCTAATTCTGCTGACTGCCGGCTGCCAGCAGTTTGGCAGTTCGATTCTCACTGGCTCAAGGTTGACTTGACCTTCCATCATTCTGAAGTTGGTAAAATGAGGAGCCAGATTGTTGGGGGCAATATGCTGACTCTGTAAACCGAGA